AGGATTCCGATTCTCGTTACCATTTGCGGGATCCTTCACCCGCACAGTTATTACTCGTATAAAATATTACTCAAAAGCTCCCTCCGGGCATGTTTGTCGAAGGGTGCGCCCGAGGCTGGGCCCGCCCCGCCGGCCTGTGGTTACGAGAAAGAAGTGGCAGCACCAACCGAACTGAATTAAACATAGGCGCGAATTATGAGGGGGGGGGGGCTGGGCCCTGAGCGGAGCTCGGGTGGGTGGTCCGGTATGGTCGTACACAGGTGTGAGGCAGTGCGTGCTGCTGCAGAAGGGGATCAAGGGCAGGGAACAGAGGTTGCGATGCATTCAATCCCGCCCCAAACGCGTTCTGTTGAACATGCGACGCACGAAAGGAAATGAGGGGCTCACCTTCTCACTGCCCGAATCCTTCTCGCTTTTGTGACTAAATTCTCACTCGACAAGAGTAAAATCGAGTGAGCTTTTTTCGACCTCGACCAATTATTAGAAATGAGTAGACTCTCGTAGGATGCAGGATTCCCACACTTTGACTATTAAAATTTTTCGCGAAATGTTTAATTGTCTCAATCCACACAGTAACCAGCAAACTAGCATAGTTCGCGACATCCGGCAGCGCGATCCAGTCTGCGTCTATCGCATCGACGACGCCGTGATCTCCCTCGTCAGAGTCGTCCTGATATTGAGTTTGTCGTCTGTGCGGGGCCGGGTCGGCCGGGCCTGGCGCCTCGCCTGGCACCAGGGATGAGCCCGGGGCACCGGGCCAGCCCCGCCGCCCGGCCGAGTTGGAGTTGGAGTTTGACGTCTCGCTGAGGTCGATATTTGCAATTAGTAAGCCGTCTTTAATCACCTCGGCTCAGTCGCTTCGCGCTACGGTTCAACTTTCCACGGAAATGGCAGCAGCACCGGAGCGAGTGAGCGGGCGAGAGGGGAGGGAGCGGAGGGGGCGGTTTAGCTTCATCAGGTGAAAAAGATGAGCGCACGCGACGACATAATCCCATCCCAGCGCGCGGTACGATCAGCACATTCTGCTCCGCGCTGCTCACGAGGCGAGGCCGGCTCAGAGGAATTGTGCTTAGACTGCTCGGGACGAAATGAAGACATTATAATCCGGCAGCCAGCAGCGAGATCCGCCAGCATCGCAGCTCGGTCCGTGTGTGGAGCTGAGCTGGCGCGACCTGGGGGAGCCGAGCGCCCGCCGACCGCCGGGTAGGCAGAGCCGCTGCGCACCAGTGCGCGCCGGGACGGCCCGCCCGGCCCGCCCCCCGGGCGGCGAAGGCGTGCAGCGGTCGGAACGCGGAGCGACGGAACAACTTCTAATTTCTAATCGTATTAGGCTGTGCTGATGCGGCACCTTTTGCCCACGGCCGGCATGCTCGGAGATCAGCGGTACATTTTGAGAGCTTGGTGTGGGAACATGCGTGTATGCTGGCATTCCCCCCCCCCCACCGAAAAACGTCAGTAATGTAATAGTTGAATATGTGTGCAAGCTTTTATAGTTGGACAATAAGCCATTTAGAAGATTACTCTGTGTCGTCCCCCTCCCCCTACAGCAACAACACACAACACTTACTTGCTCCACCTTTCTTTAGGTAATGAAACATTCTCTGTAGAATGAGAACAAGCCATCCGCTCCTAGTCTGACTGACTTGGCAAATCTCCCCACCTTTTGATAAAAGTAACACAGATCAAATGGAAACCGTAGCCCAAATTTTTCACCGATAGACTTGCTGAGACCTGCATATGTTCTTCTCCCCCAAATTTGTGTGAATATGTATCACTAGCTTTTCAGTGTTTACACCTATTATTGCAAGTATTCCTAGGATAGAATAGTGAAACAAATAGTACAGAGAAATAATAGTTGGATGTAACTATACATTTTTATTTACTGAAAATTAATATTGCTATGACACTTATTGGGCTCGTTTAAATACTTCTGGAGGAACATACTCGGCATCTTTGGCTGCTTTGTCTTCTTTCAGTTTGGTATACTTGTTGTCTATTTTACTCAGAGCTTCTTCCTTCTCCTCAATCATTAGGTCCAGCTTATCCTCAATGTCAAAGAAAAAGATCTCCCTTTCCTTCTGAGCAAGTTCCTCCTTTTGTTGTGCAATACGCTGCAGAGCTTCTTCTTTTCTTAATTCTTCTTGATGAACCTTTAAAGCTGCAAGCCGATCCTCATCCCACTTACTGTAAAGCTAAGAGTTAAAAGAAAATGTTAATCTTTATGTAGAAATTTATTGGTAACAAGATAAATTTGCCATTTTTTTCTTACCTGTTTCTGTTCTTCGATTTGCTTAGTTTCCAGCTGTTTAACTGCATCCTTCACTAAGGTTGATGTTTCAGCTAGTAAGTCAGCATCTATAGCAGATACTTCAAGACTTCTGAGTGTTTCAGAAACTTTCAACTTAGTCTCTAGCTCAGCTTTTAGCTTGGCTTCTTTTGCTTCTTGAGCAGGATCGGATTTGGCTGGTTTAGATGCTGGTTTCTGTTCTGTGGAAGTTTCTTCAACTTGTTTAACTTCAATATGTTTTTGGGCAATTCCAAGGATTTCTCTGCAAGAGAGAAACAGTAGAAATTAGAGCTTCATACAAATACACTGGTTTCCATTATTTAAAAAAAACAATTAACACATGTGAGTTTTTTGGGGGTAAAAAATACTGACCTATGCACTTGCTTTTTATTTTTGATCAAAGTGTTGGTAAGTTCCATCACATCCTCCCATTTTTGCTGCAGTGTCAGGCCAAGCAAAAAATATGAAGTGGCGAGCTGTTCACTTCCTCCCACCTTTGAGCTGAACATACTTAATGTCTTGCCAACCAAAACCATAGGATCTTTTAAATCAAAATGATTGTCGAAATAGGGTTTTATGATGTATTTGACTCGTATTTTAACCACTTCTTTAGGTTCTGGCGCAGGAGGCACCAACTCTCCTTCACAATACCAAGGCTGATCCAAGTTTTTAAGATACATATGACAAGAATACAATGAAAGGCGAGTTGCTAGAGGATTTTCCCAGTCTTCTTGGAGCATTTGTAGAACAGCAACTCTTGCTGCAGCTGCATACTTCCCTTGCTTTATAAATGAGTCCATGAGAAGATTTGTGCAATAATGGTCAGGATAAATCCCATAAGTTATCCTATCATTAAGCATCTTTAAGAGTGTGTCTTCCTTCCCTGCATCCAACATTATTCGAACAACAGCATGATGTGAAGATGGAAATGTACTGCTTGTGTCAGTAGTCGCACGTAGTTTACGAACAATATCTTCCACATCCTCCATGTAGCCCTTCTTTGTATTGGCATTAATGAAGATATCTGCGTCTATGGCATTAATCTTTCCTGTTTCTGAGTAGTGCCAATCTATTTCTTGATAAAGAGTTTGAAGATTTACTTTTTTCAAAATGGGTGATTCTAACCTTTTATCCCATGCCTCTCTACATGGGTACGCCTCTGACAAAAAAGTTCTTTTGATGGTCTTGAGAGTAGACGTCCTAGACCAGCTCAAACACCTACTCGATACGAAACCGAGTCTTGACATGGTGAATAATACTGTATACTAAGAAAAAATGAAATACATAGCAAATTTCTCGACCGACAGAAACACAGAAACAGACGAAATTCTCTTCTCTGCTAGCAGTAAAAAACGTTGGGTTTGCACCAACATTGACAAAGCGAGACAGATCCGACTTGAGGCTACAGGCTACTGACCAGTTATGACAAACTTAGAGCAGCTCTGGGCCGTTCCTCGCCGCGCCGTCCCGTGCCGATGCCGATGCAGTGGATGCAGTTGCAACCAAGACTGTGTCCCGGCGTATTAGACTTATTTTTTCTTATCTGTTGCGCAAAGATTTTTAGAATTAGAATCGGACGACATGACAGCTTTCGAGGGTAACTACTTTTGATGTTAATCATCTGCTCATATTTGAGAACGATGTTATATTAGCCCTTTAGGTTATGCCTGTTGTGTCAGATGTTATGTCAGATGTTATAATATGCACATTTTGTATTGAATCATTCATTTTCTGGCCTCGCATTCATTTCTCTGTAAATATACCCACTGAGCCTTTTGGGTTCCATTGAACCAGCTGGACTGTTAAAAGACTATGGTTGACATGCCCCGCACTAACACAAAATAAAAATATTTTTTTATGACATTAATTGACTTTTATTTTTCAGAAATGGGCGTTTTGCCTGAAATTGGCAAAGCTGTAGAGGAGATGGATTGGATGTATGTGCTCGTCACATCTATGGTAATGTGGTTTTATTAGTTTATTCAGCTTGTGTTATTTTTCCTCGGAAATTTACAGGTTGCCAACTGATGTTCAATCAGAAGCCATACCATTAATTCTTGGTGGTGGTGATGTTCTAATGGCTGCAGAAACTGGTAGTGGAAAGACAGGTGCTTTTTGCCTGCCCATCATCCAAATTACTTGGGAAGCTCTTAAAGATATAGAAAGTGGTAAATGCGGAAAAGGTGGTGGGGGTGCTGCAGCTTCTGCCTTGTGTAAGATCTAATACACTGCTCTCATATTTTAATTTCTCATTATAAAATTTGACTGCATGCTACAGTTTGTCTTTTTATTTGATTGGTAGCTACCCCCTGGACTTTGAGTTTTTGGGACCGTGATTCATCAATGGCAGTTACACCTGATGGACTTCGCTGTCAATCTCGCGCTCCCAACTGGCAGGGCTGTAGGGCCATCAAAGCTGTTCAGGGCTCTGGAAAATACTATTTCGAGTCAACTGTAACTGATGAAGGATTGTGTAGAGTTGGCTGGAGCACTGGACAGGTGAATACTGTGTGTGGTTGAAGTATTTCTGTGAACTGTGGACTTATCATTCTTAATCAACATTCTAGGCTGTACTTGATCTTGGAACAGACTCATGGGGCTATGGGTTTGGTGGAACAGGCAAAAAATCCAACAGCAAAAATTTTGACTCATATGGAGAATCTTTTGGAATCAATGATACGATTGGTTGTTATTTAGATTTAGACAGCGGTGAAATTTCTTTCAGTAAAAATGAGAAGCATCTAGGCAAAGCCTTTGTCCTATCAGACAACATGAAGAATAAAGCTTTCCATCCTGCTGTTGTTTTAAAGGTATATTGTGTCACTATTTTTTTCTACATTCAACCGATATCTTTAAAATGACATTTGTTGCAAGCCGGTCTTGATCCTCTGTTTCTTGTTTTTCAAAGAATGCTGAAATGGCTTTCAATTTTGGTGCTACTCCTTTCAAATTTCCACCACAAGGAGGTTTTATTGCTTTAAGCCAAGCATCCAAAGATTGCATACGAAATCCTGATGCTGCTCCCGTGAAAGTTGTTAAGGATGCTCCTCAAGCCATCATTATTGAGGTATTGCCGCCCCCCCATCCACCCCCGGGAATTATTTTTTGAACTAATGGTGTTGACTTTATTTTCAATGTAGCCATCAAAAGAATTAGCAGATCAGACCTTCAGCCAATTAAACTTGTTTATGAAGTTTCTGGACAAACCAAAAGTGCGCGCTGCTCTTGTGACTGGCGGAGTCAGTGTTAATGAAAATATTGCTTCTTTGACTAAAGGAGTAAGTTTTATATTCTAGCAAAACACGAGAAGGTTTTTTAATCTATATTTCTTACGCCTTTTTTATTTATCTTCAATGTGTTTTATTGTGTAGGTGGACATTGTTGTGGGAACACCAGGACGAATGGAGTCTCTGATATCTTCGGGAAATTTAATCTTGAAAGCTTGTCGTTTTTTTGTACTTGATGAAGCAGATGGTCTACTTAAGCAAGGCTATAGTGGTCTTATTGATAGTCTTCACAGACAAATCCCTAAAGTCACTGCTGATGGCAATAGACTTCAAATGATTGTCTGTTCAGCTACACTTCATGACTTTGATGTCAAAAAAATGGCTGTAAGAATTCGTGATATACAGATTTTGTAATCTTTGTTGTTTTTCTAATTTGTGACATTTTACAGAGCATTTTTAAAATTGCTTTTGCAGGACCGTCTAATGCATTTTCCAACATGGGTTGACTTGAAAGGAGAAGATGCTGTACCGGACACTGTCCATCATGTTGTTGTTAATGTTGACCCTCAGAAGGACCGCTCATGGGAAACATTAAGGAAGCATATTATGACTGATGATGTTCATGTGAGAGACAATGTCCGTCCTGGCAACAACACAGCAGGTGCACTTAACTAAACTTGAGCTTGCAGGATTTTTGAAAACAAAATTGTGTTTGAAGGATAACTTATGATGATGCTGTTTTATTGCAGAAACCCTCTCTGAAGCAGTAAAAATGTTAAAAGGAGAATATTGTATTCGAGCCATTAATGAACATAAAATGGATAAGGCTCTTATATTTTGCCGAACAAAATTAGATTGTGATAATCTTGAAAAATATTTCAATCAGTTGGGTAAGGATATTGTTAAAGTTTATTTTAAATTCACTCTGATTTAGTCATACATCTGGTATATTCTACTTTTTTTTTTTTTACATTTTAGGTGGTGGGCCAAGGAACCCCTCAAACCCCTATTCTTGTGTGTGTCTACATGGAGATAGGAAGCCTCAAGAGCGTAAGGAAAATTTAGACCAGTTTAAACAAGGAAGAGTGAAATTTCTCATTTGCACTGATGTTGCTGCTCGTGGCATTGACATTAGTGGATTGCCATTCAGTGAGTGAAGTTTCCACTCACCAATTCCAAAATAGCTTACTGTTGTTTTTTCCTGGTGATTTCAACCAATTCTGTGTTGGTTTCAGTGATTAATGTAACTCTTCCTGATGAAAAGTCAAATTATGTTCACCGCATTGGCCGTGTTGGAAGAGCTGAGCGAATGGGCCTAGCAATTTCTCTTGTTTCTTCTTTACCTGAAAAGGTTTGGTTCCATGGCGAATGGTGTCCATCAAGAGGACGCAATTGTTCTAATACCCGTTTAACCTCTGAAGGAGGATGCTGTATTTGGTACAATGAACCTCAGGTAATCTGCAATATATCTCCTTGTTGATGTACAGTAATTGAGTGAACCACAAGCAATTTGTGGAAAGGCATTAATGCTTGTTGGATAACTTTGCTGAAATGTGAAACTGAGATGTGAACTGCTTCATAATGGTTTCAGTATTTGGCTGATATAGAGGAACATCTTGGTGTAACGATTCAGCAAGTTGGACCTGATGTTAAGGTGCCTGTTGATCAATTTGACGGCAAAGTTGTGTATGGTCAAAAGCGACTTAATAAAGGTAAGATGCGACAATCTTCCTAATCTTTTTGAGTAACAGGCATGTCCGTCTACCATGAACCTAGACATCATTTGCTTTTCTTCTATGTTGTTGAATTTTACTTCTGGATTCCAGGAAGTTCTTATGAAAATCATGTGTCTCAAATGGCTCCGGCTGTTCAAGATTTGGCTCAACTTGAAAGCAAAGCACAATTACTTTATCTCAAGAGGCATTATTCTAAGGCTTTCGCTTAAGAGATGAGCTTGACTGGATTGGTATTGTACTTTTCTCGTCTTACCCTATGTTTTCACCTCAAGATCCACTTGATTGCATATTTTATTGGCAATTTTGTTGGTTCTTGTCATTTTTCTTTTGCATTTATATAAATGTTGTGGTGAAGTATTGGTTGACTCTCGTTGTTTTTCTTTGGATATACCATTCAATGAGGTCTGTAAATAGTTTTTTTCTTTATTTATTTTTACTAACTATTCTGTATAACCTAGTCTCTGTTAGTTTGACAAAAAAATATATATTGTTCGTATATTTGCTAGGTTAAGTCTTTTACTACCCTTTCTTATGTTGCAAGAAAATTGTTTCTGAACTGCTACTTATCCCATATAGGTACAATATTTTCAAGGTTTACTGAGAGTAGCAACACTGTAATCTGATCTCAGGTGTATTTAGGGTGTCTCTTTACTTCAGGGCTACTATCGAGTGCAATGGCAGTGACCAATGAACGAATCATAAGTCAAAGGTAAATAAAACAATGCAAATCATTTATCTATCTTAATAGAAACTGAACAACTTATTATATTGTTTTGGAGAGGCCACACAACAGATCTATCTACCTTACTCCTTTCTAAATGCCTAAACCTGGATTCATATCTGTCTGCAAGAGCTTTTATTAAAACATAAGACATATTTAGAGAGCAGACAAACTTAGTTTATTCCAAAAGCCTACTAAAAAATTCTCTTTAGGTTGAGTTGATGCATAAAGTTTGATTGTAGGAAGTATCTAAGAGCTGAGAGGTGGAAAGGTCTGTTTTGGCCATTTAACTGTTCTTTAGAACTGATTAGCTTCTCTAATTTTTCTTTGGATTTTCTGAAGTAGGCACAGTAAGTAGATGTCACAATTGTTGTGAGCAATAAATGGTAAAACAGAACAATGAAAATTGTGAGTACTGTAGTTCATCTTAAAATATTTCCATGAATGGAAAAGCAGCTTTTGAGGGCTGCAGCACATCATTCAGGAAGCAAACAGTCCCAGCAAGCCCCTCATATAAACTAAATGGGGAGTCAGGAGAGCGTGCACCTGCTTGAAATTCATCAGAAAATATGAAATTGGCAAACTGTTCAGCTCTACGAAGGTACATATCATTCTGAGTTAGGCGATACAATATCAAGAAAATATAGCCATTTCCTGCCACACCATGGCATATACCTAGAGGTTATGATTTTATTTGAATTAGTAATAGGAAACCAGAAAACTGGCAAAAGTCAAGTGAAGTCAGCATTACCTGGTCCTTTTTTTAGCAGTCCTTTCTCCCACACCAAGTCTCCACATTTAATGCATGATTGAAGGTAACGATCTTCTTGCCACATTAAGTATGCTTTAGCCATAAGATATACAACTCCTAAATGAAAAAAAATTGAAAAGAAAACACATTAACAGGCTTTCATCAAAATAGTTGAAGTACCTGAAAGTAGTTTTACAGTAATTTTGACTCTGTAGTTGTTCTTTCTATTCATATATTTATATTATACCAGGAGCTCCATGGCACCAGTGAACCAGCTCATCCTCGGGTCTTCTTGATTTCAGTCGAACTTCGTCTGTAGCAGCAGGGAAATTTCCTTCCAAGGATTGTACTGAGAGTAAGTAATCAACAGTGGCCCTCACATCTCTTTCAACGGATGGATCTGATTGGAGAAAACCTTCTACACTCATCAGCATTTGTAGAATACCACTCAATCCGTGCGCTGCTCCTAAGTATTACACATGAAAAATGTTAACAAAATACCAAAAATGCATTTTGTAAAATACAATTTTAAGTAAATTTAAAATTACCAAGATACTCAGTGTCATAGTAAGCAAACATCAGTGGTGATAAGCTTTTTGTACGTTTTGCGTAATTTCTGCCAGATGTAATGATGGACTGACATACTTTGTGTAATTCAGGTAACGGTACAATAGGAGATCCAAAAACTTTCTGAAGCCAGAGTGCGCCACATATATAACCAGCTCTTCCAACTAGCAACTCATCACCTCCACATGATAAGAAGTCCACTGGTAAAATGACAGAGCTTAATGATTTATACAGTTGGCAGAAATGTTGAGCCTCAGCAACACTACCTGGGGAATAAATATGCAAATGTTCAGAATATTGTAAATAACATTAAGTTAAAATTGAAAAGTCCACAAAAATACCTGCAGCCTGGTAGAGAGCAGCACCAACAGCATAAATTCCAGCAGGTCCTAAGAGAAATGCACATTCTTCTGTTTGTCTCAAAGGTACATTTTGATGAGTGTAAAGAAGGGCTGCTTTTACATATTCCAGCCCTTTTTGAATAAGTTGGTCTTTCTCAGCTGCATAGAGTGGCGAATGACTAACATGATAAAACATGTACCCTACTCCGCCAGTTCCCACATAGAGCCCCCCATCACCATCTGCCGCTGAAGGAGGTAACTTGCTTGTTATTAAATTAATTAACTCAGATGTTTTTGCCGCCCACACTTCTTGGCTAAATTCAGTAGTTTCTTGTAACCCATGTAACCATGGATTTGGAAAGTAACGCTTAGGCCGCTGCTCCATGTTGTGATATCCAGTAAACACTTTATTAAAAAGATAAGGAACTTGTTTACGTACTAGTGCTACAAGTTGTGAATCTGTGGGGAAAAAATAAAAACCAAAGATTAGCTTTACAAATTAACCATCAGAGAAGATGCAGTAAACAAAACTGCTGGAGGTTAGATATTAGGTTTCATTGCAGGAACAGTAGAAACTGCTGATATTGATTTTGCATTATTTGTTTTTGTTATTCTTATTGGTATTACTAGGTACTACTCGCTCATGATATAATGATTTGGGTCTTGATTGGGGTCAGGAAAAATAACTTGTCAAGGATTTGACAGTTGCCCTAAACTGAGCCCTTTAAGAAAAGGGGTTACCAACATACATGAAAATAATAGTTTCTTTCCGAAACACGATGCCTAGCTTGTAAAAAAATATTCGTGGAGGATAAAGCTCTGATCATCAGATATTTTATTTACGTAAAACAAAGAGACATATGGTTTGTTTACGTCTGCCTGAGCACCGGCCGCCGGCGTCTGTCTGCGTCTCCTCCCTCCTCCACCCACCCTTCCTTCAGCTTCGTCTGCTAGAGTGTTGTCAAACCCCAAAACAGCAGACAGCAGACGAGGACGCGGAGTCAGACGGGGGAGCGTCGCGACGTCGAGTCAAAGCGAGGACGGCTGTAAAGTTCTTTTTGAACTTTACTTTGGGCTGCCCTTGTCGTCCCGCTATCGTAATCCAACTGTGAGACGAATCGATTTGTGGTAGTTGAAGCGATCGAACCATTTACCTGACTCGAGGAGCCTGTCGTCTGCTCTTGGCGTCGCGCGTTGAAACCTCCCCCTCTCTGCTCAGTGACTGCCGAACATCAAGTTTTCCAGCAAAGTCATGGGTTCCATCGTGTTAAAAAGTTTATCTGTATTACTGGGAATATTTTTCGTCTTTGTGGGAACCATGAAGATGTCCTCATTGATTAGCAAGGAGCTGCACAAGGATTTGGTGAGCACCTGTGTGGGCCGGAGGGGAGGTTGCGGCCCTATGGCCGGCCATAGTGGCGATTTCCGAAAGGGTCCTGCCTCCCCTCTATATTCCACATTGTGATTTAACTCGCTCTAATTGGCGAATATGTTGGTGCCGGAGAGAAAATGTTCTTCGCCATTATGAAGGTTTAAGTTATTTGTGTCGTATCGACCTTGGCAAAGCGCCCTATGCCGCACACAATATAAGTGAAAAGACATAGGATGGTCAGCCCTGCCCGCCGGGCCCTGGTTTGAGTTATTTTTACCCTGCTCTAGCCTCTGGTTATAGATCCAATACAAGCTGAATTTTTGCACTCTCATTTTCATGTCACTTAAAATCAACAACTAGCATAAATCTTGTCACTAAAACATACTTTTATCCTTATGAAAAAAATGTAGTTTTTAGAAAAACATAAATATGTAGGAATGTTTTATAACCAACAGACACTCAACTAAATAATCATTTTGTTCCACTATTACTTCCCTTCCCGATTGTTTGTTTGTTATATTTTAAACCATTTTTCTTTTTTCAGAGGAAAGAGTATGTGAAATATGCCAAAGTGTTCCCATTATCGGACACTTTAGATTTCAAGGTACCATCAAAATGGTACCGAAGAGTTGTTGGTTCCCTAGAAATTATTTGCGGACTTGCTATGGCACTTATACCAAGTGGTAAGTATTTTCCTACTTCCTTTTTATTTGTAATGTATAAAATGCGCTACTTTATATTCTCTGAATTTTTCTCTTTCCAGCAAAAGTAAAACAAGTAGCTAATGTTTTACTCATATTTCTTATGCTAGTTGCAGTTTATTCGCACTACATGGTTAATGACAAATTTGAAAGAATTGCACCTGCTCTGGTATGTCAGATGAGGATGATCAATCACAAAATTTTCCTGCTTCTAATTATTGTTTACTGAATTCTAATTGAAAACCTACATGTTTTTTAGTAATTTTGGTCAATATTATTGTTGAAGTGAGAATTTTTTTCTATTTCCACAGGTATTCTTCTTCATGCTCACAGGCCGCATGGTTATTGACTGGCAATTAAGACGGAAAGCTGAGGGGGCTGTGGAGGGTGAAGCTAAAGCTCAGAAGCAGGATTAAAGAGATACGCTTTCTTGTGTTCAATTTGTATATCACATATACTAGTCATTTCAATGCCATTTCTATTTCTTTATTGAATTTTATTCTGTACCAAGGTTTTTGCCCTGTAGGATCATTTTTATTAACTTTGCATTGAAGTTTTTGATACCTCCTCATTCATTAAAATTATAAGACATCACTTCACATGCACTTTTTGTGGCAACTACACTGAATTGTAGGATTTATTTCTAGTCTGCTCAACATACATGTATGATTTTATAATGTTAAATCAGAGAAGATTAGATGCATCTGTTTCATGCATGACATTTATATAAGCGGCAATAATTAGCAAAGCAATCAGAATGAACACTAAGTGGAAAGATAAGTTCCGGAGGGAAATGATGCTCAATAAACATTACTAGAAATATGTTCTTTTCTATATTAAGATGGGTAATAGGGTCCAGTTTTATCTATCAAAAAATGCACATGGATGTATTTTAAATAGAGTTCTGAACTGCTAGTTGCTCTGATTTTGTGGTTTTTTGTACTGCTTCACTTGTATTCTTTTTGTAATGTTTTATTCATCTTCATGATTTTTATTGTTTTGGAACAGTTGTTTTATTTGACATTGAAAAAGAAGTTAAATCATTGTTTTCAATGTCCGTGTATTAATATGGGGTTGTGTGGAATGATATTTTGCTTTTATTTCTATGTTTATTCTAGTCAAAGCTGGTATCCCAATTGCAAATTGTGGTTGCTGAATTTCCCAATACTGTATATTAATGTGTACCCCTGTAATGAATTAAATACAATATGCACCTAAAGTATCGGAACATTTATCAAGAGAGTAAACTTGTTTATATGGCACATGGAGATCAGTTGATATGGTCCTCCCCTACATTCACTCATCTCATTACTCTATTCTGGAAGTTCCAGTCTTCCTCTCTTCCTGAGACATGTACAAGACGGCGGCATGATTTGTTGTTACTTTATCCTTTCTGTTATTTCGCAGTTGGCTTTTTACATTGATTTTAAAGATGCAAAAGTTTTATTGCCTCTGTTTTAGCTGGTGTGTGTGTGTACACTTTCCAGATGCTGCAATAAACCTTGTTAAGCACTTAAGTTGACATGCAATCCACTATACCTTGTAAAGTGTTTGAAAAAACAAGTGTGTTTTTTGTTTTTGTCATTAAAATTCTAGAGAGTTGTAGAGGTTATTAAAATCATCATTCCACTCTCATTGTCACCATAGCTTTTCAATTCTTAAATTTGTTGTCATCATTTCTGTTTTTTGAGGAATAAGTGTTAAAAACCCTAATGCCATTGTTTCCTGTTGTCTTTGTTCTCAAATTTATGAGTTAATGCCAAATCAGGGTGTAGAGGCTTCCCTTATTGTCATATTCTGTTAATTCAAAACAGTGCTCAACTCCCCCCTGATTTAAGTCATCTATATCTAAACAGGTATAATCACTTAGCATATTTTTTTGGTACTTCTAAATCTGCACAAAAGGCTGATGAACTCAAAATAAAACTTGTGAGAGTCAATGCACTCTTGCCTGTCATCAAGATAAACACCTTATGAACCTCTTTCTTAAGTTCACTTATATTATTCATTTTGCATCTTAAGTTTATGACTGTTCATGCCTTGTACATTTTCATTAAAATAAACGTTGATGGTACATCCTGAACAACCTCTTCTTTGTTTTCTTTCTTACAGTTTCAATCTGTATTTTTTCCGTTGTTTTTTGTTGTTGTTGTTGTTGTTGTTTATCATTTTATGGCAATCATCTCATTTAACACATAAGTTTGAGCAAGGCTTGAACTTCGAAAGGCTTGAGGAGACTCGCTGCAATCTCATATTGAATTTTCCGCTAACACTAACACAAAAATGTGCACTGAAAACACATGAAGGCGTAGGCGGAAACGGTGGTGGATTGGTTCGTGTCAACAGTCGCTCTCGCTATTCGCACCACTGGAGCCGGAAATGGCTTTCCGTCTGCTCTCGTCGTGTCGCTCGTCGCTCGCCATTCAGTTCAGTCCCTCTCTCTGCCTGTGCACGCGCGCTTGGTTGTGATCTTCATCGTGATCGACTGATTGTATGTACACGGCGCGCTGTCCGCCGGAGAACATTGTTTTGCAGAGTTGGCTGTTATCCACGTTTGTTTGAGGTATGTTTAATCGATAATTTCCTGACCTCTCTCCACCTCGCCGGATTTGGTTTTCGATTTCTGGGCTGATGTTTGAGTTACTGTGCACATGCAGTATGCGGCCTAACCAAACCTCGAACACGTGTGTGTAATAGGTTTGTGTAGAGATCCACGAGGCTTCTCCGAACTTCTAAACCCACGTTTTCTTTGAGAGGTTTAAATCTGCAGAATTAGTCTAGTATCTATTAATGTAATTACTTCCTCTTGTTCTGTTCCTTTGGAGCTTATTTGAGAAACTGAAAGATGCACTTCCTTAGCACATTTCTTCGCCGTGGTTTATTTACTACGTTTAGTCATGTTACTTCTCTTAAATATAATGCTTAGGGATATGTCTTGGATCTTATTGGTTTATTATTTTTAAACCTATCCTGGGATTTCGCTAATTTAGCTGTAGCTTACTCTTTTATTGTATGTTTATTTAACTTATTTTTCCAGATTCAATGACTGTTGCTAAAGCCATGAAGAGTCCAGGTCAAAAGCCGAAAACCCCCAAGAAGGGTCCATCTACACCGAATGTGAAATCCCCCAAAGGGAAAGGTGTAGGAACTCCTGCCGGAACTCCAAAACAAACCCCTGGCAAAGGTCCGAAAGTGGATCAGAAGACCCCTAAGAAGCCCTTGGCTCCTGCAATGGCTCCTGCAAATGGAACTCCAAAGCCTAAAACACCAAATGCGAACGGTTCTACCAAGCCTCAAACTCCAAACCCTAAGGCAAATGCTACACCCAAATCCAAGACTCCCAAGGGTAATGCTACGCCAAAGTTGAAGACACCCAAGGCTGCTAATGAGAGTCCTAAATCTCTTGGCAAACGGTCTGCAGAAACGGCTGGTCTTGATATCAATACGTAAGTTCAATAAATCAATAGCCTTGTCAGTTTAATGGTCTGTTCTCATTGTTATATCATGATTTATTTCAGCTCATCAAAGTTTGCTAAGGTCCTACGAATTTATAACCTACCCTCAATGGAGAATGAGAAGCTGATGGGAGAGGTGAAAAAACTCTTAGAACCAAGAGGTGAAATTGTCAAGGTAAAGTTTGAAAATGAGGCCATGATTGCTTGAATTTTTCCAGCATGTATGTTAATAATATTATTGTTGTAGATGAGACGTGAGAAACCCTGCATTGTTGTCGAGTACTCTAATGCAGAAGATGCCCGTGCTGCCAAGAAGTTGAATGGTGTTGTTGTCGGAGGCCGTCACCTCACCTTTGTCCATGGAGAAGATAGAACTCTGCCAACTGACCACAGAATTACCATCACACATTGTCCTAACAGTGAGTTTTTTCAACACTATAGTTGTAGTATACTTATCATTGCAGTGGTAGTCAATTATGGGGACTATTCCCAAAATTCAAGGTGTTGGACTTAAGTGGAGTTTGGTGGTGGAATTTGAATCAGATCAGATATTTCCATTAATGTCCACCCCATACCTTGAACAGTTTATTCCTATCAGCTTAATTTAAGACATATATATATATAGAGTAAATGTTATCTTATGGCCACTACTGATGTAACTTTCCTATTTGATTCTATGGAGTTTTCTTACTTTGGTCTTTTACACCGTTACTAAATGGTTTCCCAAAAGCGCCATTTCACTTGGATAGTGTTTGTGGTCGTTAGCAGGAAGCAGAATAAGTAGAAATCCTTGGGTGAGTTGTGCTCCTTTATTGAATCATGACCTCAATCTGGGTTTCCACATCAGATTTAAACGGATGCATGTAGTAGTTGTGGTTGTTGACGGGAAGATTACATTGAAATCCTGGGTGAGTTGCGCTTAATTACTGGATCATGACCTCAATCTGGGTTACCAGTTTTGAATGGCTGCGTAAGGGCATTTACAATTGGTACATTCCTTCTCAAAAGCGCCACATTGTTATTGTAGTGATGCTGGTCGTTGACGAGAAGAAGATAAAATAGTAATCCTTGGGTGAGTTGTGCTTCCTTACTGGATCATGACCTCAATCTGGGTTACCACACAACCACTTCTTTAACTAGGCGCCTAAAATTTGTACATTCCTTCCCAAAAGCGCCACATCATTTTTGTAGTGGTGCTGGTCGTTAACGGGAAGAAGAAAAAATAGAAATCCTTGGGTGAGTTGTGCTTCATTACTGGATCATGACCTCAATCTGGATCACCACATCAGTTTGAAATGGCTTCAGCAGATGGGCTCTGTTATTCTCACATGTGCTGCATCATTTTCTCTGGTCAACTAGGGGTTGGCAGGAAGCAGACTCGGTAGAAATCCTTGTATACCCTCAGTCATGTTTAATCTAGCTTTCCTTTTATTGTAACATTACTTTGGTTCATGGGTTTTCTGAGAAGCATCTAGTTTTAAACTCTTATCTAAATTTGTTCAAGTGTGTTTGGCTAGGATTGGCTGTGTAGCTTAATTGCTTGTGCATTTTGTTTTCATCTACTATTATTTTCTTTAAGTTTCGGTCTGAGTTTTTAAACTTTTGTTTTGTTTTATTGTTTCAGATATGACTGATGAAGATATCTGGTCTCTCTTTGGAGGTTGTGGTAAAATCCTTTCTATCCACTTTAATCGTCACTGGAAGACCAGGATTATTCAGAAATGTTTTGTCACTTTTGATGTGAGTAATTTATATCAGCATTGTGTCAAATACATGTTTTATTTTCTATTTTAATTAATTTAATCCAATTTTTATTATTAGAGCAAAAAAGCTGTGCAGGAAGCACTTTCTCAACCCAAAACTCTAGGTGGTAAGAAGCTTTCTGTGTCTGAAGTTACCACTGATACCAGAGTTCTACACGCTACTTTCCCTGCGGATAGCACAGTTTATCTTCTTGGTATTCCTGCAGGTATGTTGGTGTTTTGCTGCCATGTTTGTGCTTTCCATCTATGTCCATTACTAATAAGTTTCTTTTATTGTAGATGTAGCAGACACAGATGTAAAGAAACTTGTAGGCAAAGTTTGTCCTGTTACTGCTGTTACTATTGTTGAAGCCGCCAGGAGATATGCCATTGTTTATATTACTGTAAGTATTATCTCTGTCCTCTTAAATATGTGGTTATTTTTATTTTTGTTGTCAACCTAATTCCTGAATATTCTTTTACCTTCAGAATGAATCTGATGTTGAGAAAGCTCTTAAGCTTAATGGCACACAATTTAATGGTGCTAAATTAAGAGTGGAAAGACATAGAAAATCAACTCATTACAAGAAATCGGAGGAGGCTACATCAAAGAAGTCCAAAAAGGAAGTTCCAGCCAAGAAACAGAAGCTTGACAAGAAAGCTTCTGTCAAAGCAGAACCTGAAGACAGTGATAATGACGAAGAGGAGGATGATGAAGATGACAGTGATGAGGATATGGGTGAAGACTTGTTAGCAGCTTTCCAGGGCAAAATGCAGAAGCTTAAGAAAGAGTCTGCTACCGAAGACGATGATGACGATGACGACGAGGAGGAGGATGATGATGACGACGAGGAGGATGACGACGACGACGAGGAAGACGAGGATGATGATGACGACGAGGAAGATGAGGAGGATGATGATGACGACGACGAGGAAGATGAATGAGGTGGGAGGCTTAATTTTCTGGGACTTTTATATTGCAGTCATAATTCCATCAAACTTCGGTTTCATCTCATCATTCATAGCTTAATTTATAAGTACTTCATACTGGCTTGACAAGTCACTGTCCAATTCTATATATTGTTTCCTATTACAGTGCAAACTGTAAAAATTGGTTAGAACATTTCTTTAAGGACAACTGTGGAGTAACAGCTGTTGTCAATGGGCATCAAACTGTATGTACAAATGTGTTTGTGTGATCAATTGTTAAATTTTGTGCTCAGATGTAGTTTGCATGCATAGTATTCTTTTAGTGTACATACCCTTAGGATAATTATTCAAATTTTGTCTTCATTTTGAAGTCATTGACTTTAAAGTATCGATTGTTTTAGAATTGTTACCAGACTCAACTTAAGACAGTTGGACTTTTTTTTATATACATAAATGAAAAGAATGAAATGTTAAAATAATGTTCCCTGTGAAAACATTAAAATGTTACAAACAGCAAAACAGTACTTTCTGTCAAGCCTCTCAATGCCTGTTTGCTTAAGTGCAAGTGGCCAAATACTCAAACTTTTACTACACTCAAGACTCAAGGTTGTGAAATGAATTTAAAGTATCGATTGTTTTAGAATTGTTACCAGACTCAACTTAAGACAGTTGGACTTTTTTTTATATACATAAATAAAAAGAATGAAATGTTAAAATAATGTTCCCTGTGAAAACATTAAAATGTTACAAACAGCAAAACAGTACTTTCTGTCAAGCCTCTCAATGCCTGTTTGCTTAAGTGCAAGTGGCCAAATACTCAAACTTTTACTACACTCAAGACTCAAGGTTGTGAAATGAATTCTAAGTGTCTAGGAAATTGTGATGCCACAATGACATCAACTTGAGGAATCAGATAAAATAAATACTCTTAATGGGGAAGTTACTTCAAAGATATCGGAACGCATTCAAGAAAAAATTAGTGGAGTGCTTAACACACTTCAGCCACTGGGTATGAAGTAGCTGTCTCCTAGACATGTATTAAAAAGTAGAATTTTAATTAAAAATATTTGCATTGTCTCATTGGCATGCTCTTTGCATCATTCACTCTGTGGTGACATTATATGAAATTACACCAGGATTACACCGTATGAGCTGAGACTTATTTGATTCTCTCTAAATTATTCAAAGCATTGTTCTCACTTTGTCTTCTACATACAGTTCTGGGCCTGCACATCTGACATTATGTAAGAATGACTAATGAAATTTCTTAGGTGCTGAGTCTTCTGTTCCGTGATATCCACAATGCAAGTACTAAAGGTAAAACTTGATGTTAAAACTGTTTTGATTCGTTCTGCTTAATCAAAATTATTGAAGCTTTATATGTGTGTTATCATAAAAATGGATGAAGATCTGTGTTTCTGTTCTTCTCAGGTGAATCCTATCAAAAGAAGAAAAGCAGTAGTCCTTTTGTAAAGGACAAATTGAATTTGGATGTACATATGTATATATTTTTTCTTGGAGATTGATGAGGATGACTCCTCCGTACCAAGGGCAAACTTTCATGGTCAGACTACATTGCTTGGATAGTTTTAGATGGTGAGTACAATTTCACATGGAGAGGTGTCACAATTTTGCTTATTATGATGATATTTATGTATTTTCATCAAGCTTAGCCTTCAGTATTTGTGTTTAAATCATTGAGCACTGAACTAATCTTTACTGTTCAGCTCCTTGGAAATGTCTACTAGTTCTGACTTTGAGGTGTCATCAGTACACTTGTTCCTTTCCAGTTTTATTTTTCATTTTTTGTGGGGATTTGTTTAGTTCACTTTATTTATTTCAGTTGGAAGAAATACAGAATTGTGCACAGCCTATAATAGTCATACAGAACTTAAAAAAAAAATAAATGAAAAAGTATACTTCCATGGGAACATCCTATTTTCTGTCTTCTGATTAAACCTCAAATACAGTCCCCCAAATTTTTGTGGGATTCTAATTTTTTGTACTTGTTTAATAAGTTATAAGCTTACAATTTTGCTAAGTTTCACTTTATTTATTTCATGAAATCATACAAATATGTATTATTATGTGTTTAGGTTCAGATTTTTCTTTTATTTCTTCTTTGATTTGGCCTTTTTTTCTGCTTAAATAGACAGGCAGAAATATTCTAGTCCATGCCAATGAATGCTCTTTTTCTCTTTAGTCCTGTAATGTATGATAAAAATGCAAAGTGAATGATATGGAAACAGAGTTAAAAGTGCTTAAATATTTATGATACAACCTGTGAACATTTGATGTTGAGTTGACATTGTTTGTCCTAGGCAATACTTTTTGAAGCATGGCACGATAATTTTATGCAGCTACTTGAAACTGTAAGGAGTCCAGAGAGGAGTTTGTGTCATCATGATATATGTAGACCAAAATTCTGTTTTTACCCTGTTTCAGGCAGACCATCCAATAGTTGCATCTGTGCTTGATATTAGCTAAGCAGGCGTTAGCTGACACTCAATGTATGCTGAGTTGGCATCACAGCACACAGCATGAGAGATGGCCCCTTCTTCTCATGATCTCAGGAATAAATCTGGTAAGTTTTGACTTTTTATATTATGTAATCTTAACAAAAATATCAATAAATTATGGTAGAGTCATATGTTAGGTAAAAGTTTATTCTGGTATTTGTTTCTATTGGGGGGTTTCTTGGCATGTCTTTACTGTCTCTATGCTACCTCCATATAATATAGCTTATTACTTTATCCTAAAATATGTAGTCGTGTGTTGATTGTTGTGGAGAGAAGTGCAAGAGGCATATCATCAGAGTGTCACTAACAGTAATGCTGCTATTTATTTCATTTGCATGGTACAGTCGTAGTAACGTTGGAATGATGCTGGTTCTTGTCTAAAAGGGGTATGCCTGGATGCCTGGATTTTCGATGAGTTGGCATCACAGTGATACATATGGACCAGAACACGTTCGAGTTGAACTCTGAGATAATTTGAATTTAACTTAGATTTTTTTCATTCTTTTTCAGGTATTCAGATTTGCCCCCTGCTCTTTGATGCACACCACAAGGTAGCTTCTCAAAGTGTCTGTACAAAGAAAAATTGGACTAGCGTTGGTTACTGGCATATGTCAAATCACCTATATGTACTTTCAGGTAGAATGACTCAATAGACTTCTTTGCTCATGTCAAGAATTTTTCCGGGCTGTGTTCCTGCAATCATATTAAACGGTACTTTTAGTACTATTGATTGAATGCGCTTGCCTTCATTTGTAACTCAACAATCATCAACTATTAATTACGTATAATTTACTCATACAACACAACCTTTATAAATGTCTCTCCCCCCACACTCTAACTATGACCTCGGTCTTTCAAATAACTGACTCAAATAACTGGACACAAGCATCAAATGTACGTAATATATCCCTCTGCATGTACTGTAGGCTGTGCACATCTCCCAGAGACCTTTTCCACAACTATTAGGGTAGAAGTGGATAGGGCAGATGCAAATTAGCTGCAATGCACATTGATTGATTGATTGATTTGTTGGAGATTTCACGAACAGAGCTAAAACCCTCAGTTGACAACAAAAGCCTGCAGCCCAGCCAGAAGTAATACATTTTGCTGTTCCACAAGAATAATACAGAGTAAAATATATGATATATGATAATGAACTGAAACCCATTAGCGTAAGACCTGCAACAATATATAACACATGGCAAGGAGGAGTGTACTCATTCAACACCTTTATAGTGTATTTCGACTAACGGGGGAAGAAGAAGAGCGGGTAGAACATAAACGTTACCGATTGGTCGAGAGCTTCCCGCCTCTACGTCATGCCGGTAGTGGGGGTAGGCGCTCGGCCAATCAGGAACCTTTATGTTCTACCCGCTCTTCTTCCTCCGTTGGTCGAAATACACTATAACAAAGATACAACGTTTACAGAACGATCATCATTTATCTGCCCCAAAATTAACTGCGATATCAATATCAAAAAGCCGATTTGATGTCCACCCTAACATTCTGATTAAAATCCTATGACAAATTTGGGTAAAAATTTTTGGTATTGAGCAGAAGACGCTAATTTTCACTGTTTATTTACGTTTCCATAAAGGCGCGGCGGGATGCGGAGAGAGTAGTGGCCCTCCTGTGAGAGGTGCGCAGAGCTGTCGAGCGGCAGCCAATCAGAGCGGCTGAGAGTTCCCTGGGCGCCGCGAGTCCCGAAATCGCCATGCGCGAGGCTAGTAGCAGACGAGCAGCCATAACCTCTTGCTCTCCACCTCGAGTTTTGAGATATTGATTTCTCTCGCAATTCTCTTCGCACCGCCGCGGGACATGACTTATTTTAAATTTTAGGCTTGCAGGAGCTCATAAACTATAAAACTCGCCCGCTCTAAGCGAAAATCTGTTGATGATAAGGATTAATATGAGCGAAGTAGGCGCGCAATTTCTCCTAGTTCTAGTCTCGCACAGGGTGTCTCCAGCCCCATGGAACTCTCACGGCCAGCTCTGCGCACCTCTCACAGGAGGGCCACTAGGAGAGAGGAGAGGGAGGGAGGGGGGGATTCGGCAGACAGGACCTGAGACCACTTAATCTGAACCGTCTGTAGACGAATAATCATTTCTTCTGCCGATGCTAGAATATTAACCAGAGGTAAACAGCGCTAAGAAATAAAGCGAATAAAACGTAAGGTATCAATGCCTCTTCGATGCTCTCGCCTTGTCCATGCGGTCGTGTTGTACTTTTTTTATGGTTATGCCCTATGCAAATTGGATCAGCTGGTAGAACGCGCGCCCGGGACCCGGATGGTTGTCGGTTCGAATACAGACCGAGGTTCATTTTTCCCTATTTAGTAGTTTGCGGCAGGGGGACCGACGGTTAGGACAAAAGACCAGCCAATGGGGAGGTGGACTCGACCGCCTACCCAGCAACCCCCACCACATCCCCCCGCAATAAAAAAAAACAACGAAATGTTTTTCCTGACCAGGACCCGACCTCTGGGCTAAAGGTGTATTGTGCACAACGGAGAGTTCATGATCAACATAGCGGGAAATAAGTTCTCCGGCTGGGAGTCGATCCCTGGACCGACGGTTCCCGGACTACACCACAGCGCGCTCGCCACTCGGCTGTCCGCTCCACTTGTCACGTCCCTGTTTGTAGCTACACGATTGTAGCTACAGCCGACAGAGCC